AGAGTAAATTTCCAATTTATTTACTCTTACAAAGTTTTGACTAAGCAATGTTGAGCAGCTCTAAGGCCTCAAAGGCCCCAGTGCCTACACAATATACAGGTAACTAAGGGTCCAAGTTCTTTGACATGGGGCCCACCATTAACTAACCTCCCACTTCCAATGAAGATACATGGATGTGGTTTAGATCAATAACTGACCTGTGACTTGGGTAACCTCCTTGATCGTTACACCTAAGGGTACGAACAAGAACCTGGGTTTCCACCTTATCCCAACATCAAGACAAGTAACACACATAAAAGTTGCTCTCTCAGCCCAGAATGAACAATGTTCAGTCAGTGCTCTTTACTTAAAGGAAGAAAACAATTAAGTGAAACCTTGAAGTAATCTCATTCTGCCTGTTTAGCCTCTTCATCCCTCAATGTGTGGTTAGCAAGTGTGGCAATCAGGGCTAAGGCCTGCTATCATTCGGCCTTAATTAAAAAAGACACAAGCAGTGGAGCTGTGAATTAGAAATGTAGCTACGCACTACCCCTGATTAATTCGAGGCTCATGTTGGATTAATAACTCCAAACAAAGAACAAAAGGAAATTGTTATGCGAATTGCAGCCCTCCCAGGCCAGACAAAGGTCAAATCACAGGATTTCAATTTCATCCGGAGTCGCTTAATCAACTCCCTCGGAAGGAAGACCATATGTAGTTCTGAAAGCTACCCATTGTAGTCCTCTTGTCGCTGGACCTGAGGGACGGCACAGTCATCCTCTCAAACTATTCTCAATTGCTTCTCTTCTTTCCCCTTTAATATGACAAAAACTTCATTATTACCAGTGATTAAAGAAGAGATCTGCCCTGCAGAAAACATCCCAACAACTGCTGGTTTATGGAGGACGCTGGACACTGTTGGCACCGAGCCTACAGAGCTTGCTCCCTTTCCCAGGAAAGGTCTTCAGCAGCAGCAATAGAATCATAACCACCACAGGGGTGATGTCATTGGCAGAGCAATTGGGAGGGTTGTGATACTACAATACGTTTATCAAGAGAGGAAGAGGAAAGGAGATAACTTCTGCTCATTGAATAAAAGGAAAGTAAATGAAAGGTACAGTTCATGGGATGTCAGAAGAAGGTATCAGAAGACAGAGCTCTCTCCTACAGCGAGATTAGAAGTTCTGCATGAGATGGGGAAAGAGGCATAAGTGCCTTAGGAGACCTGAGGGGCACAGCCAGCCACCCTAACCCCTACCTCAGCAGTTCTAGAGTTCATCCACATTTGGGGGTTTCCTCTCCTAGAGGCTGCACTAAGGACTGACGTAGGCTGAGAATTGCAGACTCTCATTAGCAAGACAGGTTTAAGTGGTTTGAAGATGTGATGACTTTCACTGTGGCATTAACACTTTTCACCCTGTCAACACCAAAGTGCTACTAATGGTAACCTCCCAGGACTATTACAACATTGTCCTATACAATCAAGGCCCAGTGCTCCTCAAATGAAATTTTGGCAAATTAGGTAGTTCTTCCAAAAGACATAAGTATAATCTTTGAGGATTTTAATCAGCATTCCAAGGTAGTGCTTTGGCCCAAAGGAATTCACACCAGTATCTTATTTCAATGATGTGACTATAACCTTATCTGGGTGATTCATGGGAGTGCTTAATAAAGTGCCCTATATATGACAGATGTTCAGTAATTATGGACTGTCAGGATTTTTATCATCCAATCTGATATGGCAAGATTTTCAGCCTCTGCCTTCTTCATAGAATGCAATAATAGTTGTCACCTTCATGTAGTCCAGATTTAGCAATTGGGGAATTCATTTATTCCTCTGAACTCCCATAGTGTCTTTTTAGGACTTTTTAAATTTTTTATTGTCTCATGTATATTATTCATTCATTCATTTACTCCTTTATTTATTGAGCAAGTATTTACTGAGTGCCTACTATGTGTCAGGCACTGTGCTAGGCACTGGAGATAAAAGGACAACTAAAAGCAGATAATATCCTTGCTCTCATGGTCTTTACAGTTCAGTCAGTGAGAAAGATAAAAGTCAAACAAATGCATAAGCAAATGTAAAATTAAAATGTAATATGGATCAAAGGGGAGGTACATGGTAACATGAAGACTTAATCTATAAAGGGAGGCTGTGTAAGGTTTCCCTGAGGAATTGACACTTTTTTCTCAGATGTGAAGTAAGAATATAAGTTGAACTTGGTGGAAAGATAGAAGACAGAGACAGAGTCTCTACTGTCTGAGACAGCATGACAAATGGATTGGTCTGAGAGGGGCATGTGCCTAGTCTCAGGTGGCAAGGCAGAGGGCAATGTGAGCTAATTCTGGAGAGGCACCCGAGAACATAAAAAATGGCCTTGTAGGCCATGTTAAAGATTCTGGTGTCATTCTGAAAACAGTAGGAAACCTCTGAAATTCTTTAAGAGGAAGTGGTCAAGATGCAATTAGAATTGTGTAGCTATTGTTATTTGCCAACCGTTCTATCATATCTCTGGTGGTTAAAAGCAATTCACCGTTGTCCTTTCACAGTGCCTAGCACGATGCTTAGCACAGTAGAGTGGCATCTCCCTCTCAAGGATTGGCAGGGCTGATTCTGTAATATCACTGCTCCACAGGTACCCCCATGTCTAAGCTATGAGCCTGGTTGAAGATGATCGTCTTCTCAGAAAGAGGAGAACCATTCCTTGATGAAAGATAATTTCAACTAAACTAAATTCAAAAGCATTTTAATATGTTGTTTGTTCAATACCATTGAATGAATGAATGGCTTTTAATTCAGCGGCACCACTGGAAGATGGCAGTCAGTGCCCTCAGCGAAACTTCTGACCATGAGTGAAGGACTGGCATGCTTTCCTCCTTGAAATTTATTGCTATTGTTGGGTTGCATGATTTCTCAAGGAAAATGACGATTTCTGCCTACTGAGATATCCAAAGATGTAATGGCATTGCTTTTTTGAAAATTAACCCCAATATCTGAAACCTAAGGTTTTATATTTCAATTTAACGAATATCAAAAAAGTTATAAATGTATGTGTGAGTCATAATTCCCAGGGAGCATTCATGAAAGCTATGTTTCCTATGTGACATGCAACTATCAAATAATGAGCACATTCAGGAAGCATAGTCAGCTGTTTGTTATACATGATGGAGCAGCTGCATCAAGAGCTTTTTGAGGATTATTCTCCAAGTTTCTCTTAAAGCCACTTCATTTCCTTTCTGAAAAGCACTATTACTTGATCTGCATAGTTAAGACAAACCTCAGAAATTGGATGAATGCTAAATTTTTCATATTAGTCTGAAATCCAGAAAAGCTGTCCAAATCCCAGATATAAAATGTACAATTATCTTGTAGAGATTTTAAGTCTTATGGTGTCTGATTTGGAGAAGGAAAATTTATCTCAGTATAGAGCTTGTTGACTGTTTTGGATAGTTTGTAAACATTACTTCAAATCATACTCAACAAAATAACAGCCAAATTTTGCTAAACCTGATAGTTCCTTTTACTGAGTTTTGACATTGGCATACACAGTCCTAAATTTAGGGACATTTTAAATATTCATCCTTAGAATTCACATGGAAGAATCACAAAAATAACTCCCATTAGTTGAGCAATTAAGTGTGTCACATACTCAGCTATAAATACATGTGTCTATTTATCTATTTCTTTATTTGTTAATTCATTCAATATTTATGGAGTGCCATGTGCCAGGCACTGTGACTATAGTACTGAATAAAACAGACAGACTCCCTACCCTCAAGGTGCTTCCATTATCTTTTTGACAGGTGAGGAAAATGTGACTTAGTGCAATACGTAAATTGCCCTGAGTTACATACTAGTGAGTGGCAAACCCATGTTTCTGAAACCAAGAGTGTTAGGTTGTAACCATTCTGCTATGCTTTTCTTAAAATATTGTGACCTTACAATAAGCATTTAGCCAGACTCTCTCATGTCAGAAGTTAATTTGGACTGAGATAAGTACATTGAGAATATTCTTTAATTTTAATAAGTTATTAGAATACAAAGAAGGACATTATTGCTTCGATATTTTGGAATATAATGGAAAAGGAGTATAAAGGTTTGAAGGAGGTAATTATGCATTCCAAGATGGCAGATTTCTATTTTCTACACTGTAAAGGTCTACTTTGTTTTAACTACAAAACAATTTCTTTTGATATGTTATAAACTGTATCTCACTCATCCAATCAAAATATCAAGTTAATTTATATCAAGACAATGAAACCACGGAGTCTATTTCTATCTACATTGCACTGTATCACATTAACTGAAACCAAACCAAATTTTATAGCAATACAAATCAATTTAGATTTAGTTTCCTAAATAACTGCTATATGGCAGTCATGAAAATAAATAGTATTGCTTAAAAATAACCACCAAAATTCAGAAAATATGAGAATTCATAGGCATTTGCTCAAGATGAATATTTTGCTTCAAAATAAGTTGAGTTGACTAAATTTGATTACGTTTCAGATATTTGTAAATGTGTAATAATTTTTAAACATTATTTTGAAATTATTGTACTCGCAGATGCTGCCAAAGTAACAAGTGAAAGGAGTCCATTACGTGTTAGGGTTGGAAAGAATACATTAAAAGGGACCACAACCCTTCATCTCTTAACATACTCAACCTGAACTCTGAGTATCCAGAATTTTACTTGGTCTAATTATGAAAAGATTATAAAGCCTAAGTTTAAGCACTTAGATTTTCATTGAGCAATGTACAGTAGGATAGGTAGTCCACATCAAATTTCTCTACCCTATAGGGAATTCCAGAAACAGTTTCTCTGAACATGATAATCTATGTATATAAAAACTGTGATTACTAAAAAAATAAGAAGAACTATAACCTGCATTCTATAAACACTTATTAAAATCCTTCCAACTACTAAATTTTAAATTAGCAATTACTTTTAAAAAATTCTTTAATAATGTAAAGAAACCTGTGGAAAATATTTTTTAAATGTTAACTATGCTCTTTTCAGGGTACAAAATATAAAAAAGAAAGAAAGGAAAGACAAAAAAGAAACACATCTGAAAGCTTCCAAATGGAAGGGATCTGGGCAAAGTTGGAGAGGATGGGCCTTTGGACTCAAAGAACAACATTGGTAAGAAATGGAAAGATAAGGATACCATACAGATTGTAATCCAGAATGTGGCAGTCAGGAATCTGAGCCCATGGTAAACTCAGTGTGTCCAAAGGAAAGAAACGTATTTTTCTGAACTCATACAAAAGTCTGAAGGTCACATAAACAATGAAAAGAATCCAGTCTAGAGAGAAAGAATTGAAGGTTACTAGCTCTACTCTAGTTCTCTTGATAAACATCTCCACTTCTACGTTTTAACATACTAAATTTGATAGCAGTATTCCCAAAGAAAAAATTATTTTAAATACAGAGAACAGTGACTCTCTGGCCTTTCAATATTCACAGAAGGATGAGTCCTTCTTAAGCTGTAGAGACACTCTATCCGTTCCTAATGGTATCTAAAGCTTATTACAGGGAAGAGTAACATATTTCTCTCAAATTCCCAAATTAGTTGACAGCTGATAAACACGTGGACAATGATAAAATACCAATAAAATTTTCAAAGTTATTCACAAAATAATATAGCACACAAAAAAATATCACTGCCTGCAATTACCAGAAAAAAAACATTCCATGGAATAAGTAACAATACTCATTTGTGGCCACCCTATTCTCTTCTTCTCAAATGAATCAGAAGAGCGAGCTAGCTCTCACTAATGTGAATATTAAGATTAGCAGGAACAGAATGAAAAACATAGGAACTCTTTATACTTAACAATTAGCTCCTGGAGACCAGATTTACTTTCTATTCCACATCCCTATAATAGATTGGATTACTGTATTTAAATAAAATCTTAGAATCTGAACATACCCAGCATAGCTTAACTTCTTTTTGAATGGCCAGATTCAACATAGCTACACTCTTAAAAAGTAGTAAACGGCAAGCAGAATATCTCACTATGGTTAAGGTAAACATAGTAAAAAAGGAAGCAAAGGAAACTAAATTTGGCCTTGGCCATTCAGCTCTTTTGCCTCCCAAAGGAAATGATTCTGACAGGATAACCTTGTGAGTGAAGGTTTCAGTGATACTTACTTCCTGGACTACAGAAGACGACATGGTCTTAACATTCAAAGAGTTTCTCCAACTCTCCTTTGGATGTTCTGAGTATAAAAGATTTCTTATCTCGAAAGAAAGAAATCTGAGAAAAATCTTTAAAAAAAACACATTGATTGTAATTAAATAGTAGCTGGGAAAATCCTATTAGCACAGTGGATAGAACTGATGAGGCCTTGACTACAGAGGAGCTGTTATCTCTGGCTGTGGATGTTAAATTGTGTGCAAAGATTTCTTTAAAGTTCTCCACTGTACATCTGCAACAGAGTGAATGTAATCTCAGCCACTCAGGAGAAGAGGCAGCCACTGAGGGAATAGTGTACTGCCATTAGAAACTCACACCAGGCTCCAAAGACTTTGCAGTGATCGTGACTATAAAACCCTGGACCACAGCACCAATGAAGCATTTAAGAAAGATTTATACATAGGTAAACTTTTAAAAGTTCACTTGAAAGTCAAGTGAACCCACAAGCTTCATATCATACTCGTATAGTTATAGTCTCATCGCTTAAGATGGATTCTTAAAAGCGAAACATCTCATAATTGCCTCCGATTCACTACTCAGCCCATCCTAATACACTATACCTTTTCACTCATATTGATAAAACTAGCAGACACTGACTCATTTCTTTTCTCCTACTCAATTCCACGGCACGCCTGTCACTACTAAATACTCCTATTTCCTCAAAATACCTTCTCTCTTGGCTTCCGAGGTTCTAGCCTACTCGACTAGACCTTTAAACTTTTGAAATTCCTCATGATCTACACTAGATCTTCTTTATTCGCGTCATGTGTTGTTTACGCCCATGACTTCAAGCACCACCTATGTAAAAAGAACACCCAAATCTGCTCTCTCGACTCCAGACCACCATATTCTACTGCTTTCCAAATCTTCATTTGGATGTCTTGCAGACACCTAAAATTCGGCATGTTTAAAACTAAATTCATTATCCCCCCCTGCTCCTCCTCAGTGTTTTCTGAACGACACCACCATACGCTGAAAGGCCACAGCTAGAAATTTCTGAATAATCCCCCACATCCAGTAAATGATTAGGTCCTATTAATCCATCCTCCTAAATATCTCTCAACTTTGACACCATTGTCATATCACTCTACTTTGGGCAGAAGCATAGTAAGATAAGATGTCAATCAGTGGATGGTAACTCCCCCTCAAAAGGATTTCCAAAATCAGCGTCCTTTCTGTTGAAAGGTTATTCAAGTTGTTATCTGAAGGTAATGTAACATGGTATTTTTTAAGATGAGGAAGAAAAGTCATAAGGAGGGCAACGTGAAAGCACGCCTGGAACATACACAGAGGCTGTCATATGGAAGACCTGCTTCGTGCACCCACTCTTCCACCAGTCACAGCCACCGTCCTTCCTTCAAGTCCCCAAATATTAGAACTCGGCTCTTCTTCTAACTTTAACTTACCGTGATCTCTCCCTGGACCACTAATGCAAGCGACTCATATATCTCCCTGCCTTCAGTCTTGTTCCCAATGCCTCCTCCACCCTACATCTAAACTCACCTTTTGAAAATGCAAATCTAATCACGTCAAACTTCTTCCATCATCACCACAATTCTAAGAAAAAAACCAACCTTTTTACAAGCTTCCAGGGCCCTCCTCGATCTGGTTCCTGTCACCTACATGATCACTGCTCTCTCTGCTATCCCATATTTCTCATCTTGCAGTTCCTAGAGTTCATCATGCTTTCTCTCACTTCTGGGCCTTAGAAGATGCTAGTCTATGACTTTCTCGGGATTTTGGGGTAGGATGGGTTTCTTGGGCTGCCTACATTATGACACCTTCCTCTTACGCACCCTGTGCAGTCAAAACATTTGTAGCAGTCAGCACTTTCATAATAATAGTACTTTTTAAATGACCATATTCTCTTCTAGTCTGTAAGGTCGCTGGGAGCAGGAGATCATAACTGTCCTATTCAGTGCAAAACTCTTAGCACTTAGCACAATGCCTGTCACACAGCAGGGACCTGCTAAAGATTGTGGGATGAATGAAGTTGGTAGTTTCTTTATAATTTAGATTAATGGAAGCCATAGCTAAGGGTTTTATAGTAATAATATATCAAATGGCTGAAACAAAGGTTCATCTAAAGTTAAGCTAAAATTTGGACAGTAGAAAAATATACGCTGATTGCCTTGTAATGAGACGTGGCATCTTCCTCTAACCTCTTCAGTTTACATGCTGCTATGCTGGTACGATAAACAGACTGATTTAAAAATCAAATAACAGACTCTAAGAAGTTGTAACAATCCCTGGATTAGTACAGGATGATAACTAAGGGATCTGCTATATTAAATCATGACAATAAAAGTAAAATCCCTCCATCTTTTCTTGGATTACATTTAGAGCTCAAATCAGAGAGCACTAAATGAATAATAATGAATGTATGCCTCTGTGAATGATTGAAGATTGAATCACATTTTAACTAGACTGTATTTATAAGTCCCTTTGGATGACATAATTACAATTCCAACCATACACTAATTAGCAGCAAACATCTATTTGATATTATTTAGCAGGTTTAAAATATATTTTTTATCTGTTCTGAAAACAAACAAGAAAAAGCACAATTTACCCAAACATAAGAATGTTAAGGACCTAAGTCAACAAATAAGTTGGTGCTATCTAGAAGCAAACCAATCATATATCAAAACTATATAGCCATATTTTATTTGTATGAGAAATAATAACTAAATATACTCATATATAGGAGAGACAAGAAATTTTAAAACATAGTTTTTCCCACACAATGATGACATTCTTAACAATAAATTTATGCTGTTTTCTATTTTCTCTATTGCTTAGCAACTGTTCATAATTACTTTAAAGTTGAGATATCTCCTCATCAGTTCTATTCCACATTTAAATGTACCTTAATGGCATATTTGCCAGGAGTCAAAACTTTTCCAACATTTTTATTTTTAGATAGAACTCAATTTTCCTCCAGTTTTGCCTGACCAGGGAATACTTCTTTAATTGGGTTGAGCTCCTAATTGTACTTATATTTTGTTAAAATGTTGACCATTGTCTTCTAATATTATTTTTCTTTTAAGTTCGTATGCTTTTTTAAGTTCCTGAATTAAAAGAAATTTGGAAAGAAGCCCTAAAAAAATTCATAATACAGTAATTTGAAGATGAATTTTTTTTAATAAGAGGACAATCAACTTTTTACATTGTGCTTCATATGGTATTTTTGGTTAGCTCTATTTAATTAAAGAGTCGAGAAATATCGATAGCTCAAATTTATCACAGCTACACAGCTTTCCTATGCGCCAAGGTAAGTTCTAACAGCTTTACATGTTTTAATACATTTAATTCTCATAACAACCCTATGAGGTTATGCTATGTTTTCACCCTTGTTTTACTGATGGAAAACTGAAGCCCAGAGGGGTGAAGTCACATGCTCAGTCACAGGGTGAGTAAAGGAAGGCCTTGGGTTTGAACTGAGTCAGTCTGGCCCTAGCGTCCATGCTCCATATGGTTGTGTTATGTCAACTCTGTAAAATACCAATAGTGGTACTTTTCACACAGTTCACTAACAAAAATATTCTTCTCAGATTATGATGTTCTTATGTAAGCTAGTTTCCAACCTATAAATTACTAGTCTTCTTAAATGTCATTTATAAATTATTAGCTTAGCACTCTGACTCTATTAACCCATAAAATATTGTATTATGCTCCATTTTTACACATCTTGAAGAATGAGAATCACTACCACACAACATTAAAAGAAAAAGACTCAGAGTAACTCAGTATGGCTGGAAATTACAATGCAGGGGGAGCAGCAAGAGCTGAGGCAGGGGCCACGGTACAAAGAACTATGGTGCCAGCTATGACTTCACAGTTTTAACCATAAGGTGATGAGGAAACCAACGATGACTTTAAGCATAGGCATGATAGAGTCAAATCCATGTTTTAGAAGGATCGCAATAGGACAAATATTGG